GCGACGCCTTTCTTGAGGCCGGCGGTTTCCGTCTTTGCCAGCGCTGCCTTATACTTGAGCGCGAACGACGTCATGGCGTTGAAGACGTGCACGGTACGAATGTTGCTCAGCGCTTCCTGCGCGATGCCGCCCGCCTCGGCGTACGCGTCGACGCCGGCTTGGGTAGCCGCGGTAATCGCCTTGATCATCCAGTAGCCGCTGCCAGCGACAAGCGGCGAGACGGCCAGCAAGACGAGCGCGAGCTCCCAGCCGTATACCAAGGAGATGATGACGCCCGTGAGACCCATGGTGGAAAAGTTGATGGCGTCCGCGACCTTGCGCCCAAGACCTTCTTGGATGATGAGCGTCGTATCCGCGACCCGCGTCGCGAGTTGCATGGGGTCGTTGACGTCGAACCAACCGACTTCTTGGCGAAGGATGGCCGACGCGTAGGCGTGGCGAAGGCGCTTCGTCTGGCGCGCCGCCGCAATCGAAAAACATGCAATCTGCGCGAGGCCGCACAGAAGCGCAATCGCCGCGACGGCGGCAAACTGGATCACGACGCGGCGGATGCCCGAGCGAAAGGTATCGGAATCGTCACTCAGGCGGTTGGGGCCCACGGCGTTGAGCGCATCACCAAAGAAGACGATCTGAATGCACTGAAGGACGCCCGTGGTCATCGCGCTCAGGGTGCCGAGCGTGACGAGGACCTTGTCGGTGGTGTCGGCAAACGAAAAGAGCTTGGCGACAGACACCATGGCCGGCGTCTTCGCGATGGGAGGCGCGCCGGCTTTTGGCGTCGAGCTCGGTGCATATGCACAAGCATCGTTGTTGGTGGGACTCGATAGCATTGTTTGCAAAGACGCTGCGATCAAGCCAATTCAAAACTGAGTTACTGAGAGCATCGATTGGGACCGCCTACATTCGCGTCCTGAAACCATCATTCTACGACGCGGCAACGGCAACATGACACAACCAGTGGCGAGGGTGCCACGACTCTAAAACGCCAATGCCGCGTGGACAATGGAATGTTCAAAGAAACATCCGTGGTAGATCGAGTTGGCACATGACAGCAGCTGCTCGCCGCCAATAGAATACAAGTTGTCCGCCACCCGGCTGAAGCTTGGTAGCATCCGTGTCCAATGCGGGCATGCGACTGCAGCGGCGACGCGTAAACAGCAACGACCACTTGCAGGAAAATGCAGTTGGCGTCGGTTTGAGCTCGTTTGAGTCCCAAGGAAGAAAGTAACATGGTGTGGGCTTCACAAGCTCGTCAAGCAATAATACCCAGCACAGATGGCATTACGGCTGACGTTACTTGTGGAGTCCATGATAGCGTCAAATAGTGTAGTATAATAAATTGTTATACTACACGTATTGTTATTAACAATACCCTTGATGGCAACCGGATTCGTTGCTTGTACTGGACGATAGGGTCGCTGCGCCGTCCTCTGTATTCGGATCACAAGTCGTCCATTATAACCCTCCGGTTGATCTTGCACGCTTCCGTTTCGGTACTGTCTTTGGCTCACCAGCCGAATCTTTCGCTGATAAGGCTTCGGACTCAGCGCTCGCGATCAAGGCAGTTACCATTCCGCACTGCACGCCCAGCACTTGGCTTGTCATGCCGTGGTACCATCGCTAGCCGAGTTGCTCAACGCTCTCCGCGATGACCCAAAGTGTGTCCAGAATGGCTCACTGCCTTTACTCTGATGCTTTGCACTCAAATGCACCGAATATGGCTCATCAGCCAATCATGTGCACGTTGGCTGCTGTCAATCTCGCACAGCTTACCCTCGCACCCCTAGGTAGCGAACTCATTACCGTAGCCAGCACGGCCGCGGTCATTCTCATCAACGGCGTAATGAAGTCGTTCATGTACAGGCTCCTCGAGGACGCGACCGGCGAAGTCATTGCGGGACTTGAAGAAGAGATGGAGCGCGGTCTGGCCCAAGAGGTGCGAAAACCGTGCGCTTGCGGTGCAGATGCTAGAGTCGCCCGAAACGCTTGGCGCCAGTCACACGCTCGTCACTCTCGTTCTCTTTGACCGAGCGCATCTTGCGTTTGGACGCGAGATTGAGATTTCAGTTCCACCGATAGTAGCGCCGGGAACGCGTTGGATCGACCTTTTCTTGCTCGAGATTCAACATGTCTTTGCGATCCCACCGGACGCTGTGCGTTTCGTCAGCCCAGTGCAGACGTCGAACGTGGACGTGACCGAGATGGCGCATCTGCCATGGTTCAACCGCGACCAAGCTGTTGGTGCCAACTTTATGTCACCATGGACGTTCTTTGGCGATCGATTCGTCGTCTCGGATGCCCGTGTGCCCAACAAGGTACTAGTCTCGCCAGACGAGCGGCTCGGGCTCCAAAGGCGCATTGATGCAGCAAGCAAGGGTAGTATAATGGTGGACGTCGGGTGGTCGGTCCGCACGGTCGACATCTCTTCGATCGCACCCGCCCAAAACAACGGCGCGCGGTCTTCGTAGCGCCGCGTAAACGTCATATATAAATCAAGCGTACAAAATTGAAAATGCATTGACACTGTTTAAACTCGGTACTAGCACAGTATTTTGGTTCCGTCATCCAGTTGACATTGTCGCCGTACATTGTACTCGGTATAGAGCTCCAACGGCGACGCTACACAGCTTTTCGTACTCCCCACACCATTGTCGGACATTGTGGCGAGTATGGGCGATTTCATTTGTTGGTGTGCTTCGGGCAATCCCTTTTGTCAGCGACCAAGTGCCCACCCAAAATGTGGTTATTTCTGGTGTTTATGGCGAGCGCCAATAATAATGGCCTGACGGGAGCGGTCCATATGCCAATACTAGCACTGCTCGTGTACCAGGCGGATGGACCTCTCGGGGCGCAGCTCACTCCCAACGACATAGTGCTGGCGCCAACTCCCACGCGTTTAGGCGTAGCGCTACGTATGGAGGCATTTGAATTTGTGCTTGCTAATTCAACGCGACCCCGATTGATTGATTGATTGATTGACAGATTGATTGACTGAGTGATCGAATATATAAACAAAAAGCGCAATGTACAACTAGACAACGCCCCTTGCATTCTGGATCTGGAGCGCCGCATAGTCTTCGAGGACTTTCGGGTCGCACTCGTCGTTGGTGAGTTGCTGGCATTTACGAAACGCAACGTCGGGATCGAGGACGCTGCAGTCGATGCCATAGTCGTGGAGGAGCTCGTCTTGCCACGAGACCATCTTTCCACCTTTCAAGTACGGGGCGTTGTAGAGCATGACGCGCAGCCGCGTCTTGGTGAGACTTGCACGCTCGAGCACATACCTAGTCGTATACATTCGGATTCTGAGATCCAGATCTGATAGGTACCAAAACATGCGTGGGCGCCAGTCGATGTTTTCATGCAGCCGTTGGTCGTGGAAGAAATTCCCAAAGGTAAAGACGATGCGGTCGTCGGTGCAAAACTCGCGGCAGACGTAGTAGTTGGTCTCGCGTTCGCTCCGCACATTACGTCGATAGAGCATCTTCTCGGGCGAGATAGCACTTGTGAGCTAGTACGGTAATACATCGTTAGACAACATGTACATTGGCAATGTTTGCCGACAACGTCTACCTCGGTGTCGAGAAACTCAGACATGTAGGCGCTTGTGTCGCCTTGCATCATGGACCAGATCGGCGCCTTGAGCGCAGCATACGTGTCGAACAGCGGAAGGTCGTACTCGACCTGAATACGCCCGACGAGGTCGAGGTGCCCGTTGCCAACATCGAGGAGCACGTTGTCGGCGAGCGCGCCGGCGCTTGGAAACTGCGCGTACGCAGCCATGCGGTCCGTGTTGTGGTAGAGGTGCTGGCTAAACCAGTCGAGGCCGAGCTTGCGCGCTGCCGGCTCGGCCAAAAGCGACGTCTTGGTCCACCCAAAGGGCGTGCCGGCGAGCGGCAGGACCCGCGTGCACATGGACGCGACCCACGCCGTCATGGCTTCGCCCACGTGGCGCGTCGCGTTGTACTCGCTGCGCAGCTTGTGCAGCGTGGCTTGGGCGGCGGCGTCGCCGCGCCGCGAGACGGCAGCGAGGAGCTGGCCGAGCTCGAGGAGCTGCGCCTGGAGCGTCTCTCGCTCCGAGATGTGGCGCTCGCGGTGGCGCTTCTGCTTCAGGCGGTTGCGCAGGCGCTGGTGCTCCTTCTTGGCGAGGACGAGGTCTGCCTCCGAGAGGCTGCTGCGGCTGCTACCGGGCGATTCCATGTCGTCACGTGCTGGCTGCTAACTGAGTTGATCCACGCGTGGGACAGGAGCTGGGTTTGATTGGCTGATTTTCGAATCTGTTTCCTGATTGGCCCGCTCCCCTACCAGAAAGCACCCGCGACGAACATTCCGCCAACACACATCCTCCTCCTCGATGTTGGCTGGTGCAGCACCGCGTTTGATCTATTCACATATTCATGTCGTGTTGTGCAGACTTGATGGGTCCGAATGGTGTCGTTGTGTACACAAGTGTCATGTTGAGCGTGCAGACGCGCGTAACGTGAAATTCCATCAATAAAAAACATTTCCACGGATGAATTTGCCGTTTTGCGGTTTTGGCGCCAAAAATACCCCGTCGCTCGGTTAAATGCAAGCTCTGGACATTTGAAGACGAGAAAAAAGCACAATCGTCAAGCAATGAATGCTTTTGACCGCTTTGAAAAATACAAAAATGTAGTTATTTCTCTTGCGTACTGCTACAGTTACTGTACGTAGTTGTATGAAAGAGGCGCTTACGGGTCGTCTTGAGGGGTGGTCGACTGGACGGCCGTCACCACCGACGTCGTAAACGAGTCTAGTTGCGATAATGCGAACGGCTGTATCACGCGCTTGCAATGCTCGAGCTGTTGATCGGCGGCAAGTCCAATCAAATGGATGTATTCCTCGGCAACTTCGTCTCGCCACGGCACGATGCGGCCATCGACGAGCTGCGGGCCATTGTACCATACGACACGCAGCCGCGTGCGCGTCGCCGACACTCGGTCGAGTACATACCTACACCACACAATAGTTCAGTCGACCATGAATATGACAATGTGTCCACATACCAAAAGAGACGCGACCGCCACCGCGACGCGCGCGGGAGCTTTTCGTCATGGCCAAAGTTGCCACAGACAAACACAATGCGGTTGGCGCCGCGGAATTCGCGGCTCACATAACAGATGTGTTCGTCGAGCAGCGGCACATTGCGCCGGTAGACCATCTTGGCATCGATGGCCCTTGTCAGCTAGTGGTACAAATAGTGTGTTTGGTGGATGGAGGAAAGCCAAAATGTACCTCCACATCAAGAAATTCAGAGACGTTGGCGACCGTGTCGCCGCGGAGGTGCGCCCACATGGTGTCGTGCAGAGCATAGTAAGTCGCTTCGAGCGATCGCGCAAAGTCGTGTTGCTGACATGCGAGCAGCTCGAGCGACGCGCCGGTCTCCCACAAGCGAATCGGCTCGGCGACCGCGCTCCCGTCGGACGGAAACGCACAAGTCTGCAGCAAGCGGTCCGTATTGTGGAAGAGATGCTGGCTATACCAGTCAAGTCCGACCTTGCGCCCGACCGCGTCAGCGACGAGCGTCACGCCGTGGCAGCCCTCGGCCTACACGTTGAGTGAGAGCCGTATTACGAATTGGTGCGCAAAGTTACCGACGAGGCGGCCCAGGGCGCGAGCTGGGCACAGAGCGGCTGTGGCGTCGTCGTTGGCGCCCTCGGTACCTTGGTCCGGCGTTTCTGCAGCGCTCGCAGGACGTTGCGCAGCTTGTAGACCTCGTTTTGAAGCGCGTCCCGCTCGGCGCTCGACCGCTCCCGGAATCGCTTCTGCTTGAGCCGGTTGAGCTGGCGCTTGTGGTCGTCGACGCCCCTCATCCTCTTGGCACAAACGCCATGCGACAAATGCGGTGCAAGGTGAATGTTTGTGGGTACTGACATGCATTCTCATTCTTATCCTGCTCATTTTGCTGAACTGCCCATTGCATCCGATTGGCTATTACATATGCGTATCGTTGTCCAGAGCGCGTGCAGGCCGATACCCAGATTTGACACCTTGAGGTTAACATACGGGCACCCGGTCTTTGGTTGTACTAAGGATGTTTTGTCAACGAAAGCGACGGACGTAAAACTCCAGTTGTTGGGCGTCAAGTGCGTCCTTGTATCTTCAGTACTGACTCCACGAGGACGAGCCTGCAATGCATTCAATTCAATACCGCCACGACCACCAGTGAGGTGATATGGGTTGCTTCGTAGGCATTGCTATTGCGACGCCTACGAAGCTTGACGAGAGTTCGCCACATAGAGACCCACCCATCCCGGTCCGTTGACCGGTTGTCGTTCCAAGTTGCTGCGCGCAAGGGTCGCCGCGACGCTAGGAAGCAACAGCCTTCTGCAAACATCAACAATTTATTACTCAGTTGTCGAATCTCATGGGTTGGATGGTACCCCACTGGCAGCTTCTCCGGCGCAGACTGTTGTTGATCGTCCCTTGGCTTCTCGACCGACCGACATGGACGCAAAGATGAGCATTTGTGAGGATGAGTCTCAGGAACACCACGACAGTCTTGGAGATCGAGCCGCGTCGAATAGCTGGTATGGCCGGCGTGAAGAACCCAAGGCCATACTAGTGCCCCGCTGCGAACGAGATCACGCAAGCACGACGTAACCATGGCCAGACCGTCAACACGCTGGTGCAGACGACGCGTGTGTCGTGTCTCTTTCAGTTGCAACCTCGGAAAGGCACCTAGTACGAAAAGCGGTACGAAAGGTACTCGGCTTCCCTCGCAAACCGTCCGCAAGAAGCCACAAATTCACGGCAATAGATGAAATGTTTACAAATCCCTTTTTAAACTACGTCGCGTCACTGCGGAGGGTCAAGATTTCAACGTCGCTCGTCATCATGGGCCGCCAATCGCGGTCAATCGACTGTTGGTACTCAGAAAAGAGGAGGTCGTCGGACCCATCCGGCACGTCAACGCCTTCGCAGTTGCACATGTCTTCCTTCCACGTCAGGACGCGACCTTGGACAACTTTGGGTCCGTTGTAAAAGAGGGCTTTGATCCGCGTCTCGGTCGGCCCCATGCGCTCGAGCACATACCTACACCCTTTGTACAGACATGTTGAGTCAAATAGCAAAGATGTACCAAAACATGCGCGGGCGCCACTGGAGGTTCACGGGCTGGAGCGCGTCTTGGTTGAAATTCCCAAACAAAAACACGATCCGGTTCTCCGAAACAAACTCGCGACAAACGTAGTAGTTGCTCTCGTCCGCCGTGAGCGCCGTGCGCCTATACACCATGCGTGGGTCGATGCCACGCACGAGCTGCGCCAATGTTCATGCTGCGTCAGAACATATTCATACAATATGAAAATAGTACCTCTTCGTCAAGAAATTCTGTCCCGCACGGGTGCGTATCCCCCCGCATCTCGGCCCAAATTTTGTCCTGGAGCGCCGCAAACGTCGCCTCGAGCGAGAGATGATTGGTTACTTGAATGCGGCCAATGATATCCGCAAAGCCGTTGCCGCGGTCAACGACCACGAGGTCTTGGAGGCTGCCCGTCGTCGCGTGGAGCCCGGTCGCCGTGAGTGCGCGGTCCGTGTTGAAATACATGTGCTGCGTAAACCAGTTGAGCCCGAGCTTTCGCGCTTCGACGTCGGCGAGAAGAACCGTCGGCGACGGCAAGTGCCACACCTACACGCTATGTGAGCCACGAGCACAACACCAACGACGTAAACGTACGATAGCCGGCGACGGCGGCCGGGTCATAGACCCGACCCACGTCGTCATAAGCGCAATGCGCTTGCTGAGCTCTTCGCACTTGGCGCGCAGCATCTCGAGCGAGAGGCGGGACTCGACGCTGGCCTGTGCGAGGCCGGCGGCGACGTCGCGCCATGGCACGAGCGAGCTCTTGTTGGCGGCGGCTAATGTCGGTAGCAAGCGGCTAAGCTCTTCGACTTGCGCGCGGAGAAGCGAGCGTTCGGTCGTAAACCGGTCGCGGTGGCGCTTCTGCTTCATGCGGTTGCGCATCCGCTGGTGCTCGGAGCGGCCCGCGCCGTCCTTGCTGCTGTCGTCGAGCAGAACCATGGCATTGTGTTGCCAATGGCCACAACAATTGACTACATTGCGTATGATTGGCCCAAAAGAGCCAATCGCAGCACGTCGTTTGAAGGGCTTGGCTTACTAACCTGCGTGAGAAAACGACGTCCGCGAGTTGCGTCGAAAGCCGAAAGAGGAATTTCGTTGTGGCCGCGATGATGGGCTGGTGTCCTAGGACACTAGCGCATGCGCAGCTAGGTACCGTGAGATTTTTTGCGATACATGATCGATTATGGCGAAAGCGATGGCCGTCAACGGCACCCGAGTTAGTGGCGGCGCACTTTGTCGGGGGCGCGTAAAAGACCACCAGGAAGAAACGAGGAAGAAGATTTCTGGTCACGAAAACCATGTGTGCGTATGTGCATAAACCGCACTCGTGCATACGACGACCCCGTTCAAGCGAGGCAGGCGCACGCGCTAGTCGCCCTGAAGGGCAGTTGGGTTCGCTGAGAGACCGATTTTGTTGTCGAATATATAAACTCCAAGGCCAGTATCAGGCAGTGAGTATCAGGCTCGCCTAGCAGGCACTGATGCGCACCTGATCCCAGTGCCAAATTCAACAATTCTCGTCCCATGGGCCATGCAAAAGGAACTAACGTTAAAAACGAAACCTCATTTTTTGTTGAGAGCATTACGCCTTGTCGGCGGCGGGTCGATTGCAGAGAGTATTGAGATGCGACCGAGTCGGAACTGTACTTTCGGGCGGCAGCGCTATGACGCCAAGGACGCTGTCGAGGAACGCCTGCCAACCGTGCTCGACGACCAAGTGCTGGTACCGCGCAAACGCGTGGGAGGTCGTACTAGTCGCGACATTGCACTTTGCAAATTGCTCGATCCGGAGCAAATCGTCGCGCCACGTCATGATTTTGCCGTGCACAACTTTTGGGCCGTTGTACAACATGGTGCGGACGCGTGTTTGGTTGGGGGCGACGCGTTCGAGAACGTACCTACATATTTTGAAATCACGCATTTTAGACATTGAGCACTGCAGACGCACCAAAAGAGCCGCGGGCGCCACATGTGGTTGATAGGGTGGAGGACGTCTTGGCTGAAATTCCCAAACAAAAACACGATGCGGTCGTCGGATGCAAACTCGCGGCAGACGTAGTAGTTGCTCTCTTTCGGCCCGAGCGGAGTGCGGCGGTAGAGCATTTTGGGGTCGATCGCCGCCGTTGTCTACACAGCAGTATCGGTCAAGATGTTCCTTGTCCCAAATGACAATATTAATGTGTACTCGTACCTCGGTGTCGAGAAATTCCGACATGGACACGTGCGTGTCGCCGCGCAGCTCGGCCCAAATCTTATCGGCGAGCGCGCTGTAAGTCTTGTGCAGTGGGAGGTTGTACTCGATTTGAATGCGCCCGAGAATGTCCGACAAGCCGCTCTCAGCGTCGTCGGTCACAAGGACGTCGTGGAGTGTCCCGGTGGACGGAAACCCAGAGAGCTGTAGCATGCGGTCGGTGTTGAACAGCAAGTGCTGCGAGTACCAATCGAGTCCTCGCTTACGCGCTTCCGGGTCGGCGGGCAGCGTCAACGTCGTCAAGCCACGCAGCGGGTTGTCATCGAGCTAGAGAACACGATGATACGTGTGGTACGTATATGATGTTCGTACCTGCAAGGGCGACGGGACCGACTGGCCGACCCATGTCGCCAGCGTACACGCGAGGTTCTGCATTGATGCGGTGGCGTCGCGTAGCACCTGCAACGTGAGGCGCGACTCGGCATTGGCCTGCGCGAGGCCGGCGGCGACGTCCTTCCACGGCAAGCACGAGGTCGACATCGGGGCAGAGGCAGGCAGGCGTGTCGCGAGCTTGGCGACGACGTCGCGGAGCTCTGCGAGCTGACTCAGGAGCTCCTTTCGCTCGGTCGTGAACCGGTCGCGATGGCGCTTCTGCTTGAGCCGGTTGCGCAGACGCTGGTGCTCGACGCGCGCTTCCATGAAAAACACAAACTCCGACGCTGGCATGGTCGGAAAGACCAACAGTCTGATTGGATCTGATTGGTCCACGGCACTCATTGCGGTGGTGGATGGCTTGTTGAAGCTCGACTACGACGCTGAAACCCATCTATCTTTTGATCACTGGGTGGAGGAATTTGCTCGTGCGGTCGTCGACTCTCTGTGCAAGCAACTGTCGTGGACAACGAGTCGAGCGATGCCAACGAGTGGGTGCAAGTCCGTCCTTTGCACCCTTGGTTTTTTTCGCCAGTTATGAGACTGCACCGGTACACCGGGGCAGGTCGAATCTTCAACGACTGGTTGTATCTTGATAAATGTAAAGTATACAAGGGAAGGGGGTTATCAAGTGACGACTGGGAAAGATCTCGGGCCTCACTTCAGATTCGTACACTCGGGCTTTCCACCTGCCCGCACGCTATTTGCGCTGCAACGTCTGTGTGCTGTCTTTGCCTCGCCTGGTCAACCCTCTGCAAGCATCTACGACCTCTCTTACCAGTCTTGTTGTACCGTTAGCTTTTGCGTTTCTGGTGAGATCCATGAGACTCAAGTCATGCTGCAGAGGTGATGTGGCACGCTATATCGTCCGGTTGTCGTGTGTTCCAGAGCCTTCCAGAGAGGCACGGCTGGTCGTACCGCGGCGAATCCAGAACAAAAGGAATGTTGACTCTCCTCCATATTCACTTAGCTCGTCGGGTGAATCAGATTATCGATGGCGCGTCCGTCGCGTCGGCACTATTTGCTAAGAACGCAAAGTCGCTCGTGAGCAGTGGCATCCAATCGCGCTCGAGGATGTGCTGGAATTCGGTAAACTGCGCGTCGTCCGAAAGATCTGAAACGTCCAAGTCCAACGACGCCATGTCCTCGCGCCACGTCATTGGTACGCCACGGTCGATCTTGGGGCCCGTGCACGAGACCCAGCGCAGCCGAGTTTGGTGCGGCCCCGCCCGCTCTAGCAGAAACCTAACACCACATATCCATGAGATGTTTGCGTATACATGTAGAAAACGTGTACCAAAACATGCGCGGCCGCCACATTTCGTTCACAGGTTGGAGCGTGTCTTGGTTGAAATTACCGGTCAAAAAGACGATACGGTCGTCCGAAGCAAACTCGCGGCTCACGTAGTAGTTGCTTTCGTCCGCGTCCATTGGCGACCGCCTGTAGACCATCTTGGCGTCGATGCTTTGTGTCATCTACCATCGTCAGCGTAAGTGAGCAGGCGATTTGATGTCGATCTTGTACCTCTTCGTCTAGAAATTGCGAGACCCACGGATACGTATCCCCGCGCAATTTACGCCAAATCTTGCTCTCGAGCGCCGCGTACGTTGCCCACAGTGGTGCGTCGTACACGATCTGAATACGCCCGAGCACATGCAGTAGGTCGTCGGCCGCCGAGCCAAGGACTGCAATGTCGCGGACTGTGCCTTCTGACGGAAAGGCGGCTGCCGCTAAAATGCGGTCCGTGTTGTGGTACATGTGTTGCGTGAACCAGTCAAGACCGAGCTTCCGCGTCGTGGGCTCGGCGTGCAGCGTCACTTGGTTCCAGGCCAAGACATTGCTGCCCGTCTAAATTGCGTTTGTTTAGACTGGAAAGTGCAAAGTGACTGTACCGGCAAGGGATGCTTGGTGCTCGCGGCCGCGACCCACGCCGACATCGCGCGCGCAAGGTGGTCGAGCGCGGCTGCGCGCTGGCGCAGCAACTCGAGCGTCAGGCGCGACTCGACGCTGGCCTGCGCCAGGCCGCCAGCGATGATCTTCCACGGCAGCGACGTCTTGGGCGGCTTGCGAGTCTCAAGTCGCGTGACCACGGCGCGCAGATCGTTGATGCGTGCGAGGAGCTGCTTGCGCTCGGTTGTGAACCGGTCGCGGTGGCGCTTCTGCTTGAGCCGGTTGCGCAGTCGCTGGTGCTCGGCGCGGCGAAGCGCTTCCGACGTCGGCTGCGGCATGGCGTGTGTTCTCGCTAATGGAATTAACAACGCGCCATCAGGTGCACGCTCCCACTCTCGATCCATCTGCCACAAATATGCTCGTTTATTCCTGTTCTTGGACCTTGAAATGCATAGCGATGCACCAAACCACGTCTTCTCTGCACATTACCTTGTCGTTTGTTGTGGCAACGGTGCAAATGTCATTATCACCTGGCACGAGTCTGGTGCAGCAGTTCAAAGAAAGCGTGTCAAGTTCTCCGACCAACTGCGTGAGAAGACGAAAAGTCCACTTTTGGACAACTGCAAATCCGATCCAACTTGAAACTGTGTGCCTGTCCATTGAAAAGTCGAGCCAATGTGCAATCCGAGAAAAAATTGGGAAACATTCGCGGCAACAATATCAATTCTGAAGTGGTGACGAGTTCGTATTCAGCAAGACTACTGGAGCTCGACGTGGTCATGGCGTCAAGTAAACAAAGAAGAGTACACCCGGAGTTGTGGTACCCAACTACGTGTGTGTTAGCCATCGAGCGTGCGTCGCAGCCAAGGCCTCTGCGTCATCGTTGTTCCAGAGACACTGCAGTGTTTACACCCACCTTGTACCACCACGATCAAGTTGAACGTGCGAACACAGTAACGAGAGTGGCTCGATTAGTAGCTCCGCTTGGCTACCGCATGAGCCGTTACCGCACACCTCGGGATGTACCGCCGCCGAGTGTGTCCGACATCCCAAACGGCGGCGACGCGGTTTCGCAAGACCTCGGTAATGGCCCCGGGCATACTGCTTCTAGCCGCGTGACTAGACTTTGAGGACTATCGACGGCGCAGCTATGATTCGTTGGGCGAGGTATTCCCTCAGTACATTACCCTTCAAGTGCCACATTGAGTGAGCAACCCGCCATCGGCAACTTGAGGAAACACGGCGAGGACTTTTCCTCTAATTTCATCATTATGCAAGATCCAGCAGTTCGGTGGCCATCGACTCGGGGCTCGCCTCGGGCAACAGCAGCGCGGTGTAGTCGACGTCCATGATTGGCTGTACGTGGCGGCGTACGAGACGCCGGAACGTATCGAAGTCCAGAGCTTCGGCGTCCGGGGCGGCCGTGAGGTTCATCAAGCCCGTGTCTCGCTGCCACGGCACGAGCGTGCCGGCACGGATTTTCGGGCCATTGTACAACATGGCGCGAAGGCGCGTGCGGTGTGGCCCAATGCGGTCGAGGACGTACCTAGAACGCCACTCGACCTTTTTTTCTTTCAAGATCTCGAGCCGTACCAGTACATGCGCGGGCGCCACTGCAGATTTGCCGGCTGCGATGCGTCTTGTGTAAAGTTGCCTTGGGCAAAGACGACGCGATCGCGGGTGCGGACTTCCCGCGCGACAAAGAAGTTGGACTCGTCGGCCGAGATGGCCGAGCGCAGGTACGTCATGCACGACGGGTGCTCGATCCGCGCAACGAGCTAGTACAATTACTTGCGAATCACGTGGAGAGATAAGACGTACGTCCATGTCGAGCGGCTCGACCGCGCACGAGCTGTTGACGCCGGTGAGCTCGTCCCAAATGCGACCGCGGAGCGCGGCGTGCGCCGTCTCGAGCGAGAGACTGTACTCGATCTGGATACGCCCGAGGAGGTCGGCGACGCCATTGCCACAGTCACGCACGACCGTGTCTTTCACCGCACCATCGCACGGAAAGGCGCTGAGCTGCAGCATGCGTTCCGTGTTGGCGTGCAAATGGCGCGTGAACCAGTCGAGGCCCAGCTGGCGCGCGCAAGGCTCAGCGACCAGCGCGATCGAGTTCCATGGCTCGGCTTGCATCTACAGGCGATGACCATGAGCCATGGGTGGACAGAGAGAAGGCCGTACAGGCACACCGCGGGCAACGGTCGAGACCATGGACGCGAGCGACCGGCTCAGCTTCTCCAGTCGCTCTCGATGCGTATTTAGAGCGACGCGCGTTGCCTCGGCTTCCGAAGCCTCTTCGGCGAGCGTGGCCGCAATCGCAGTCCACGGCACGAGCGTCGAGGTCGGCTTCGAGCGCCGGGCGCTTAGCTTGGCAGCGCGGCGCAGGCTTCGCCGGAGGTCGGCTACCTCGGCGAGGAGTGCGTCGCGCTCGGCGTTGTGGCGGTCGCGGTGGCGCTTCTGCTTCTGCCGGTTGCGCAGCCGGAGGCGCTCGCTCGCCGCGTCGTCGACCATCGCAGCTCAAAATAGCGGGTTCGACGACCGACACTCTGAGAACCTGCATTCCCATTCGTTCGATTACCAGACAGAAAGGCGTGGTGTGGCATCTCGTCACGCGAGCATTTGACATAGTAGTAGCCTGACGACAGATAGCCGGACCGGAAACAAGGCTTTTCCTATCACAACGAGGCCAAACTGCCCCACTAGGTCGTTGGTCCACTGGGTCATCGAGCCGTCATCGCAAGCTGTGCAATCCCAGCTAGCAACAGCAACTAGCAGCAACCACATCGTGTAAAGCTCTGCAAAGTACAACGGACAATGTACAATGTACAGATACACTGTCGCAGTGTCCACATCACCGTGTTTGGTATCACGGCAAACAAAACAGTACACATTCCAACCCTAACCCCTCCGGCGACTGGTGGTGACGAATCTTGCGTCCCACCGTAGTATGGGAGCAAATTTCGCGTTTCTTACATTAATGACCACAAAGACGTCGACTGCATTCAGTCTAGCAAGCATCTTACTCGCGCGCCAGGGCTCATCGGGTTGTTCTACGTGGGGCGTTTCCGGTCACTCTAAAGACCAAAATGGACTATAGCCTCTTTAGAGATTTTAGAGATACAAATGTCTTGTTTTGATTATACACTACCAAGTACTAAGTCTATCTTACTTGATGCGGTGGACGTTTTCGACGGCCGAGCGCTCGATCTCGCCCGCCTGCAGCGTCAGCGACGCATAGTCGACACGCAAGAGGTGGTAAAACTGCTCGTCGACGAGCTCGCGGTACCGCGCAAAGAGTTGCGCGTCGGTCTTCTCGGGGTTGTACTCGTTGACGCTCTCCAGTACGTTTCGCCACGTATTGAGTCGACCATAAATCATTTTCGGGCCGTTGTACATGATGACCTTGAGCCGCGTCCGGTGCGGACCATGGCGCTCCAAAATATACCTATTCCAATAATTTCCTTATCCAATAAAAGAGCAAAGGGTCGACGCACCAGAAGAGACGCGGGCGCCATCGGTGGTTCTCGGGCTGCCGGGCGTCCTGGCTGAAATTCCCAAACAAAAACACGATGCGGTCGTCGGTGCAAAACTCGCGGCAGACGTAGTAGTTGCTCTCGTCGACCTCGAGTACCGTCCGGCGGTACAGCATGGTCGGGTCGATCGCTTCCGTGAGCTATTTACATAAATTCGTATTTATACGAGAGTGTGGAAAATAGTAGACAATATTGTACCTCTTGGTCGAGAAACTCGGACACAAACGAGTGCGTATCGCCCCGCAGCTCGGCCCAGATCGTATCGCGCAAGAGCGCATACGTCGCCTCGAGCGACTGGTCGTAGTCGATTTGAATGCGGCCAATGAGATCGACGAGGTCCTGGCCGAGCTCCAGGATCAAGTTGTCCATGATGGCGCCATGGGACGGGAAGTTGCAGAGGGCGACCATCCGCTCCGTGTTGAAATACAAGTGCTGCGTGTACCAGTCGAGCCCGACTTTGCGCGACGCAATGTCATCCACGAGCGTAATGTTGATCCAGCTAAACGGAGCCGCCTAGTACAGCTCCCATGCGTTCGATGATCGATATCGAGCAATACGTACCGGGAGCAGGGTTCGGCTCGGGTGCATGGACGCCACCCAGGCTTGGATGCGGCCGCTCAGCGCCAAAGTACGCTCGAGCTCTTGGCGCAGCATGACGGACGAGAGCCGCGACTCGACGGTCGACCGCGCGAGGCCGGCGGCGATCGTCTTCCAGCTCAAGAGCGTGTCGTTGGGCTTGTGCGCGGACGCTGCGAGCGCCTTGCAGAGCGTCGCGACCTGCGCGCGGAGGCTTCGGCGCTCAGCGGCCACGCGCTCGCGCAGCCGCTTCTGCTTGACGCGGTTGCGGCGCCGGAGGTCCTCGGCGGCCGCAGCGAAGCGTTCATCGTCCATCGGAAAAGCCAGCACCTATTTTTGAAGCACCAACATTCCGAAATTCTGGCGTATGATTGGTGGCTTCCTCGGCAGGGCTCTGGCGCCGCCACGTAAGCACACTCTTAACCACAAGCGTCGGGCTGTGTCGGAGGGTTAACGCCGTCCATTATATCATTTGTAGAAGGAAGCCAAAAGCACTCATGGCCGAATTGATTGTCTCGAACCGCGCTTCGATAATGTTTCGAGGAGGGGCGAGGGAGACCGAGGTTGATGTGTTGGCGACCTCCCACGCAGCTTCATGGACTCTAGCTCGTGATGCGACGCATACTGGCTTTCGCTTTCGAGGCACTTCTTGCATAGTCGTCCGGCTTTATCATCCAAGCGAGCAGGACGTCCGTAGACGAAGGACCGCCATCGGGGACCCACAGGACGCGTTTTCCATTGGAGGGTGGAGCCGAAGAGTTGGCCACTTTAAACGAAAAAGATCTCGGTACACCCTTCTCGGTGGGACAACCGGAGTTGAAGCCACTTTGGTCGCGGAGCGAGGCCGCGCATGTAGTGCACATTAGGATTTAAGGTAACTATGAGTCTCACCAACCTGTGCCAATTTGCAGGAAGTGGACTAGCGCGTGAAAATCTGATGTATTTATCCAATTTTATTGCGGTTAATTATCTGCATCCGCTTCACTTAGCACGATCCTTGTAGTGTCGTTCGGGCGACGGCCCCTCGGCGGTAACTCACCGTAAACTTGTTGCTTTCCAATGCAATAAAGTATATTATTCTCTATATATTTGTTTTAAATAGCACGGTATGTGAAGTGCACCAATGGTTTAGTGGTAAAATATCTGGTTGCCATTCAGATGCCCCGGGTTCGATTCCGGGTTGGTGCATTATTTTTAATTACTCGCGCTTATCACCAATCGGGGCACACTGGCCCACGGGTAAAAGTATGGGTAAAAGTATATATTGTGTGTGCTGTGACGCTGCGCTGGTGTCATTGCTGACCAGACCGTGGATGGATCCCGAGGTCAAGATTATAGCCAATTGCATGTCTGTTTGTAGGCGTCTTGTGTGAGCTTTCTGGGCGTTGCGCCAAGGCAGCCTACAAACCCAGCACAGTGCATTATTCAGGCGTTTTGACTTTCTTTACACAAGAAAATCTCGAGACACGGGAACATGACACATCGGTTTTGGTGTTGATGCCCTCTTTGGACACGAAATACCGATGTCACCATTATATACCGGTACGCCGTTGGAGTCCCAGCTTTCGCCAGCATCCGTAGTCTCTATTGTAAGCTCAATTCACATCCTAGTTCTCCTCAAGGGCACGAAACCCAGGTTTTTCTATCATGGACAATAATGTCACACGAGTACACTGGACCGCAACGTTGTTTGGTCGAATCCTATCCGGACGATGATTCTGTGAGCTTCTTTCAGAGACTGCCTGTCATGTAAAGACAATGGAATCGATGCGACGTCCAACTGCATTTCCCGCAGGTCGGGCGTTGCTGTTCGCGTCGCCGCTGCAGTCGAATGTCTTAGGCCAACTGCATTTGCAACTGAGGCAACAAAGCGTTAGGCGGTAAACAACTTGATTACTATTGGCAACGAGTGCTGCCAAATGCCAACTTGACCTACCATGGATGTTTCTTTGAACATTCCATTGTCCACGCAGCATCGCTCTTTCAAAGGCGTGCACCCTCGTCACTGACGTTGTCGTGCTGGCTGCAGAGAATGATGGTTCCTGGGCGCGAGTGCAGTCGAGCCGATCAAATGAACTCAGTTTTGAATTGGCTCGGTCGCAGCGTCTTAGCAAACAATGTTATCGAGTCCCACAAGCAACGATTCTTGTGCATATGCACCGAGCTCGACGCCAAAAGCCAGCGCGCCTCCCATCGCGAAGTCGCCGGCCATGGTGTCTGTCGCCAAGCTCTTTTCGTTTGCCGACACCACCGACAAGGTCCTCGTCGCACTCGGTACACTGAGTGCAATGACCATGGGCGTACTTCTGCCCATGCAGATCGTTGTCATTGGCGACGCCCTCAATACGTTGGGCGCCAACCGCGTGACCGACGATTCCGACAACTTTCGCTCGGGCATTCGCCGCATCGCGATCCAGTTTGCGGTCATCGCTGCGATTGCGCTTCTGTGCGGCCTCGCGCAGATTGCGTGTTTTTCGATCGCGGCGGCGCGCCAGACGAAGCGCCTTCGCCACGCCTACGCGTCGGCCATCCTTCGCCAAGAAGTCGGCTGGTTCGACGTCAACGACCCCATGCAACTCGCGACGCGGGTCGCGGATACGACGCTCATCATCCAAGAAGGTCTTGGGCGCAAGGTTGCGGACGCCATCAATTTTTCCACCATGGGTCTCTCAGGTGTCATTGTCGCCTTGGTGTACGGCTGGGAGCTCGCGCTCGTCTTGCTGGCTGTCTCGCCGCTCGTCGCTGGCAGCGGCTATTGGATGATCAAGGCGATCACGACGGCCACTCAAGTCGGCGTCGACGCGTACGCCGAGGCGGGCGGCATCGCACAAGAAGCGCTGAGTAACATTCGCACCGTGCACGTCTTCAACGCCATAACGTCGTTCGCGCTCAAGTATAAGGCAGCGCTGGCAAAGACGGAAGCCGCCGGCCTCAAGAAAGGCGTCGCCATCGGCGTTGGCACGGGCGGCATGTTCTTTGTCATCTTTTGCACGTACGCGATCGGTATGTACTACGGCGCGGTCAAGGTCGCCGATGACCAGATCACCGGGTCGTGTGTCGGCAGCGGCTGCTACGACAGCAGTCGCGTCCTCGTCATCTTCTTCTGCATCATCATGAGCTCGATGGCGCTTGGCCAAGCCAGCCCCGGTATCCAAGCCATCTTTGCGGCCCGTGCAGCTGCCCAAGGCGTCTATGAACTTATCGAGCTCGAGTCCAAGATCGATGCGGCCGCAGCGTCGGGCACGACCTTGCCGTCTGTCCGCGGTGATATCACGCTGGCCAACGTTTCGTTTGCGTACCCGTCGCGACCGGACGTCCGCGTCTGCGCCGGTTACTCGCTCACGATCCCGGCAGGCCAAAAGATTGCGCTCGTCGGTGCGAGTGGTAGTGGCAAGAGCACGATTGTCTCGCTCCTCGAGCGCTTCTACGACCCGCTCTTCGGCAATGTTCTGCTTGACGACTACGACCTCAAGGACCTCAACCTCAAGTGGCTCCGATCCCAAATTGGTCTCGTGGGCCAAGAGCCGTGTCTGTTTCAGGACACGATTGCCAATAACATTCGCCATGGCAAGCCGGACGCAACGGTCGACGAGGTGATTGCGGCCGCCAAGCAAGCCAACGCGTACGACTTTATCATGGGGTTTCCGGACGGTTTCGACACCGAAGTCGGCGATCGCGGCGCGCAGCTCTCGGGTGGTCAGGTATGTCGTCCTTTCTCACTTTGCAACTTTCTACGAGGATATGAAACCGTCAATGTGTAGAAACAACGTATTGCGATCGCGCGCGCGATCATCAAGAACCCGAGCATTCTGATTCTGGACGAAGCGACGTCCGCGCTCGACACGGAGAGCGAGCACATTGTGCAGGCGTCATTGGACCGTCTCGTCGCGTCGGGCAACCGGACGACGATCATCATTGCGCACCGCCTCTCGACGATCCGGAACGCCGACCGCATTGTTGTGCTCCAAGCTGGTCGTATCGTGGAAGATGGTGCACACGACGAGCTAGTGGAACGTCCTGACGGCCTCTACAAGGCGCTTGTCGACGCGCAGATGAAATCTTCTGAGACCACCGACGATGCGTCCCCCGTCGCGACGGGCCACAATCGGCTGCAGCACAAGCCGGCACTGACGACCGAAGTCGACGCGATGGCACCGTCGATCGAGTCGGCGTCGGAGACGGATGCGTCGCTTGTGTCGGCGCCCGTGCCGCTCATGCGCGTCTGGCGCTTGAGCCAGCCCGAGTTCTTCAACCTTGCTTTGGGCAGCCTTGGTGCGCTCGTCAACGGCGCCGTGTTCCCTGTCTGGGGTGTGCTCTTGACCAAGTCGATTGTGCTTTTTTTCCGCGTTGATCTCGGTGCCGATGCCATGCTGCACGAAGCGTCCATCTGGTCGGGCGCGTACGCCGCGTTGGGGGCCGTCTTTTTCGCGGCCGTTGTCATCCAGAACCATCAGTTTGCGATTGCTTGCGAGCGTCTCACGTCGCGCATTCGGGCCATGTGCTTTGACGCGATGCTGCGTCAGGACATTGGCTGGTTTGACGACGAGAAGCACTCGGCCGGTGCCCTCACGACGCGCCTTGCGACCGACTCGGCCGCCATTCGCTCCATGACGGCTGA